GGAAGGAAGGAAGGAAGGAAGGAAGGAAGGAAGGAAGGAAGGAAGGAAGGAAGGAAGGAAGGAATTTTGGAGGTCTTCTAATCCAACCCTCTGCCCAAGGCAAGAGTTCCATAAGTTCCCTAAGAAGTTATCCATAAGAAAAAGTATACCATTATTCTTTTTTAACAGGAAAATATATCCATCGAACTGAAGAAGCTTCTCGGATGAGAAGCAAAACATCTTCAAGGAAAAACAAAGAAAGTCCAGTTGCCTTTTGACAAAATATCTTTGTGACAACCATGACCTGGATGACTGAGAATCTCCATAGACACATCCACCCGAAAATCCATTATAATTTTACTAGCATTTCAGGATTTTTAAAAGTTAACATCTTTCCAATAAGGGTTTTGTTTTTCTAAACTTAAATTGCTAAGCTTCTATTTAACACGGTTTCCATGGTAGCCCAGTGAACTATGCTTTAAATCAGCAGATGGTTGTTTTCAATTCAAAACAGGAGTTGGCAGCAGCCCAACTCTTTCAAGTATTTCCTAAGGCTTCTATGACTGTAGAAAAACAGGTTTAGAGCAAATGTATTCAATAGTTTATTAAAGCTGGACTGCATGTAAAGTAATAAACTCATAACCTATTTATATTAATCTCCAACATGTTCTGACACTAGGCCCTACCCACGTTAGCCATCTAGAAGCCAGACTAAATTATTCATTGCGTGTAATATAGCAATATACCTTTCCAAGAGAATAAAAGTGGTAACGAAAGAAGCAACGTATTTTCTTAATCAAAGCCAAATAGCAGTTTTAAGCAGCTTCTACACTGCTCCATCAGGAAATGTCAAATTTTTGGTTTACTTTACCCAATAACAAGATCCATCTCCATAACATCTTAAATGAAAGCATTGGTGTGTGTGTGTGTGATGATAATTTCACGTACTATCAATATTTTTCCCCATTTTCTATTTTGTAAAAATTTGCACTTTATGAATATTCAGCATGAATACTTGTGTACGAGGGGACTCAATGAATCTGCCTTTACTGGATACAGGGTTGAAGGTGACTTTGGAGATAATAGTCATCATGATAACCGACCAGATTATTGAGAGCTGAAGTCACAGTTGAGTTCAAACGTCAGATCTGGTATTTGTCTTGGAGCAGAGTATATTACGATTGTTTATATGTCATGGTCAAGTTACTCCCACGTGGCCTTGGAATCCTTTGTAGCTACTTCCTGCCACAGGGAGAAAGAACTTGTTCAACTGGTCTGATCAGGTGTCCCATGGACCCTGCTGGATTTCAGAGGGAACCTGAGTGGGTCCTGAGGCTCTAATGTATGGATCGTTGCTCAAAACAAGATGATGGTAGCGATGGCCTTAAGGCAGAATCACACCTCTATGTATTCTCCCTTACAGATCCCAGAAGGATCCCAAGAGACAAAGTAGCAGAAGACACACCTATAACATCATTGGAGGAAAACAAAGAGCAAAACCAATCAAGCATAAATAAGAACCTTCATTAAAGATTACTCGTGGCAATAAAAGCCACAAAACATAAGGCCCGGGTGGAAACAGACTATCTAGATCTTTTAAAGTCAGATTCGAAGATGAGAAATACATTGAGGTAATATTGATTGTACTTATAAATGACATTTGGCAGCACTGAGATGGAGGCAGTGCACCTATTCTGGTCTTCCCTGATGTCTCAATGGATTTCAAAATCATGGTACCTTTAAAGGTTAGGAATGGGGCCACGTTGTTGCAATTGTTCTCCACCTTCTTCTTCAGCCAATTTTAGTCAGTGTTGGTGAGGGAAAGATGTCTAGATCCTAATTTTATGAAGTTCCAGAGCTCAGTGATCCTATTTAACATTTACACAAAGCTACTAGAGGATAACATTTTTCAGCACAGGATTCAATTAGTATGCTATATTTCTCAACCCCAACTAAATCAAGTGATGCTGCCTAGATTATTCCAGTGTCTGGGTGCTGCCAACATATGGATGGGAAAGAATATGCTTCATGTTAACCCAGGCCAGACCAAGTGACTCGGAGTTTTATGATCGTTTGGACCTTCCATGTTTGGTTCTGGATGGGGCTCCACTCAGAAAAAAACTATTTCAAAACTTGGGGGTTCTTGCTGACTCACAGTTTGAGAAACAGGTGACAGCCGTTGACAGAGAACCTTTGCACAACTTCATTTTGTGTATCAATTACGCCCATTCCTGGATAAGAGGCCTGCTCACAATCACCTATGCCCCGGCCACTTCCCATTGGGACTAATACTAATCCATGTGAGGCTGTTCTTGGAGCCAACCAGAAGTCACAATTGGTCAGATGCAGTGGTACAGATAGTCATGCGCTCACCGTGGCATGTCCGTGAAACTCC